GTAATTCATTTCAATTTTACTTGTAGGCTATATCTACTTCTTCCATGGAACAACTCAGTTCCAGTTTGATCCTCGTGTCAAAAAGATTGTCAGAGAAATGAAGAGCAACAGCTGGTTTGATTGCTAATTGCAGTGTCTTTTGCATATGTACATTATTCAGTTTTTATATGATGAATTTTACACATTTCATGACTTTCATGTCACACTGTTTTTCTGGACAGTCTTTGTGGAATTTAAATCTTAATATTATTAATGTATTTTTTAATACAAATGCAGTTTTGTAATTTATTTTATTTCATTACTTCTTATATTAAAGATTATGGATAAACTATACTTGACATACTGTTGTTATGTACGCGTTCTGATTTGCACTACCATTCAAGAGCCAAGCCTAGCTAACAAACAGTAAAAACATGTTTTTGGAATGAAATATCATATCTTGACTTTCTCGAGTCAGTAGCCAGCTGGCTCTGAGCTTTATTACCCCTGATAAGGCCTGGTGATTAGTATAGTTAGTGCTTATTACCATCAGCCAACAAATCACACTTCTGCTTTTTGGCCTTTGCCTCATTTCCGCTCTTGACCTTTCCTCCAGGGYGTAGATCATAGCAAACACAAGTGCTTTTCTCCTGTCTGGGGATTTGAACTGGTTTGAAAGAATGCAAAAAAAATATAAAACTAGAAAAGACATCTGAAACAACTAAAACCAGCCCCTGCTGTCACAGGTAGTCATGTTATATAATGGTTGGAAGAAGCTTCCTGCTTAGAGCTCTTCCAGATAAGGATATGTTACTACTCTAGAAGTTTCTGTGTTCCTCCTGATTTCMGGGGAATAAAAGACGGCAAAGTTTTCTGAAAGAAAATACTGCTCTCATGAGGTGATTTAGTCACCAATTCCTTTAAATAAAGTCTCGCTAACAGTGCTAATTAATCATACTTTCTTGTGTAAAAGACGGTGATACTGAATTACCAATGTCAATTGAACCAGAAATTGTTTTAAAATTAGATCAATCTAAATTGTTTATTTTGTTATAGAAAAGACGGCCTACAGACATGGCAACACAATATTTATAGGGAAAGATAATTTGTCTTATTAAACCAGTAAAAATGATCTATTATAAATTATATTGATCTATTATAAAGTAAAAAATAAACCTTGAGCAATCCTTTAGATGAGGAACAGAAGCAGCAGGCYGTAGTGTAACTCAAGAGCAGCTCCTCAGAGCTAAAGTGGAACAATTAATCATTCTCTAGGAGAAAAATAGTAGCTAATACTTTTGGAGTAGAGGGAATGTGGAATGGGGCATAGTAAGGTGACTATCACTTGGAGTAAAGAGRGAGAAAGGACAATTTATAACCTGTGGAACGTGAAGAATTTAAAGAGAGGAGGGAGTTTATAGTATATAAAGCATTTTTAGTCAGTGATTTTTGTTATTTTGTAAAGTGCCTTAGATTTCCCACAAGCATGAAGACTGAGGGCTCAAAATAAAGCAATTTCTTTATGAGAGACATTCCTCCACACTTATCTGAATGTTTTGCCCATTATCTTTACGTGAGCAGTGATTATTCAGCTTCCCCTACACATTTACAACAAGGGCACATCTGATGACTGGATCACGCTATTGCGTTCCTGGAGGCACAAGCTCTGGTTCCAGGTGTTTTGATCTTGTAGAGTGATCAAATGTAGTTGCATTTATCAGCCTCAGTTTGTGCTGTCACCAGTTGCTTTGCACCTTTCTAATGAATTGATGGTTCTGTTTGCTAATTACTGTATTGTAGTTACTATGCCACATCCTAATGTATGATAACTGTTTGTATGTGTAGTCCTAGCCTACATCACTTTAATGAAACAGATTAATCAAGAATGGTATCAAATGCCTAAATATATGCATTTGGTGTATGTGAGATGCTTTAGGGTATCACCCATGCAGATATGGTACAGGACCTCTGGCAGAGCAGTGCTCCCTGAGCTCCAGAGACCACAGTGCCTCTAGACATCTAAGTTTAAACTGCTGAATGCTGCCTTCACAGACTGCAGTCTTTGCCAAAGGTTTGAAAGGGATCGAATAAATTATCTGAAACATTTGCCATTCTCACAAACCATTGTCCCACCTTTTCTTATTCAAGTTGAGTAATTTTGCTTTGGTGAAACTGTGGTGAGATTCTTCAAGTATCTGCTCAGTTCAGCCACCTGAACAGGTATCTAATGATGTTAAGATGCCTTAGGGTCTTCCACTTGGCATCCAAATGCCAGTGTAAGAGGTACAAGTTCCCTATACAGTTCCCTGTACATCCTGAGTCACATCCACCAGCCCTCCGTCAAGGCCTCAGATTCACTTAGGCTGTCTCAGAAAACATGGCACATCAATGTTTAGGCAGCTATCTTTCAGCCTAAGTGTTTTCATGTGGACTCAGGCACTGGTTGTTGTCATAGTCAATGCAGCTGGTCAAACTCTTGGACTCCTGAGATCTATGCAGGGCATTCTGAGTTTTATGCAGCACATCCAAGTTCAACTCCTACATGTAGTCAGATGAAAAATATTTGACAATATTTATTATATTTCCGTTGGCTATTATGTAGGCTCAGACAGTTATCTCACATGTAAACACCCACACTATGGACCACTGAATCCTTCCTGGTATAACCACCATGATGCAGCAGTGCTGGTGTTTTCTGTGCCTCTTYGTGCAGTGTTGCTTGGAACTACCAATGTGGTGAGGACCAGCTGTGACCTTTCCAAATTAAGACACGGGTCACATTACTGCAGTCTGGATGAAACATATTCTGGGACCGTGAGAAGATGTCACAAGGCAGATGAGAATCCACCAACTCTAACCAAGACTAAAGAGAAGAATTAGGGAACCATAACCAACAGTTGCTTTAGAGCTTCTTCTTTTCCCAGGCTTTTCTTTGTGAGAAACTATGCACTGAGGTATCCCAGGAGCAGCTGGAACCAACTGCTGTCTTGTGCAGATGGTCAAGAAAGTCAGTCTCTGCCACTGAGCCCTGAAGTGTTTTCTGAACAAAGATGAAGGCAGCTCTGTAGACATCTACAGAGGCTAATTCTTCCTTTTCTAGGATAACTAGGTTGAATCACTCTCCAGAGATACCTATTACCAGAAGAATTCTTAATCAATAAGTATTTAAAGTTAGGGGCAAACAATCTTAATCTAACTGCTCCCATGGGCTCTGTCCTTCTAGTACTGTACAGTAGGTAGCTGTAGAGAATGTATTACCAGCTACAGTGGAGAAAAGACAACCACTTCTCCTGATTCATGCCAGATCTTCTCATGGTACATCTTAGATTTTTACAAAATTAAATTCAAAGCAGACTTTTTTTTTTTTCAAAAATTTGTTCTAGTACCCTTAGGAATTATGTTTGGTATAAAAGCCAGTGAGCAGGAGTTTGTGTTTGTAACCTATGCCATGTATATGGTCGGATGCAATAGCCATTTAATTCCTTCTAAAATCTCTAAGTATTTTTTGTTTGTTTAATATTGGAAGACAGAGCTCAAAAATGACTTGACTTCCCCTACTTATGGATAAATGCACATCATTTACAGGATCAATTCAATCACACTTGCCATATGAGAAAAATCATTGTAAGAGTTTGTACATCAGTAACAGAACTGGGTGGAATCCAAGTCTCATGGATCTCTCACATGCTCCCACAATGCAGTAATAATGACAAAGTAAGGGGGTTGATTGTTATTGTAACTGATAAATGCCACGCCAAGTTTAATAAACAAGGCTATATTGTGAAAACTGAGCAACGAAATTACTCATTAATACCTCTGAACAGAGAAAAGCTGGCTGCAAGTGACAACAAAAAATAACATTGAAATAAGGATTTCCTGAAAAAGCCACAGTCACACAAGGGTGTTTGTTACAACAGTTTTTCAGATGATGAGCACATTCTGTCAGAACTCCTCTGAGGTGCCAAACACCTCAATTTCCCACTGCTATGGATGTAATTCCTAYTGGTATATGCTACCAATGGAAAAGGGGCTCAGGCGGCAGTGGGATGCAATCCTATAATTTGTCACAGCTTGTGTGACTTGAAACTTCCTCTCTTCTGAATTACTTAAGAGAGGAAATAATCATATCCCCTGTGGTTAATGAGGTTAAACTGAAGAAAGATTTGTTGATGAAATGGCAGATAGAGTAAATAGATGGACAGATAGACAAATCAACAGATAGGCAAATAAATAAAGGCAGATGGAGGTATAAGATTACTCACGTACTTTAGGTAGGGCACAAAACTTAGCCTTGCTATAACTTCAGTGAAGCAGCATTTTCGTACTGCTTTTAATATGCATGGGATAGAATGTTTTTTACTTATGCAGATCCTGGATTTCACCATCAGAATTAAAGCAAACATGCAGTCTTTCCAAAGAGCTGCAATAGAGGGGTGAGGTTGATTGGGGCTTCTCATCCATTTTTCAAAACACCAACTCCGATTTTATGGATTGATTCCAAAATAAAGCTTTCTATTTACAAATGGCAATAAATTCTCCTAAAGTTTTAATTTCTTGAGACAGGATTCAGAGCTGGTGCATGACTCCCATTTTCCGGGCTGAGGCTATTAATCAATACATCTTAAAGAGCCTGTACATTTGGTTGCTCAGTTTCACACAGCTGGGTTGGGACAATCTGGAAGGTTCTGCTTTGTGCACCGTTTGATCATCTGTGAAATTGCTCAAGTTCCTAAAATTCAGTGTGAAGTACCTAAAATTGGGTGCCAGTTTTGACATCCGAGCCAAGCAGCTTAGGAATACTCAAATCCTAATAGAATTCAGATGTTTGTAAATCAGATGGGTTTAGTTAAGTTTTATTTTGGCAACCAGTAGAATATTATAGGATGTCTGGAGGTAATCAGAGCATGATAGTCAGTGAGTCAGTCCACAGCTGACTTTACGAAACACTCTATAATTTTACAAATTGAGATGTGTGAGACCATGCATACTGAGCAAAASGCAGGACTGTTCTCGTACTAAGGCAGAAAAGAGCATTAAGAATGCAGAATCTCTCAGTTTTGTTTTTAATTTACGTAGCTGTTTCTGTTGCTCTTCCCATGAACTCCGGAAAAGACAATGAAGAGGATATCAAGCTTGTACAGGTAACTCGATTGTCTATTGTTAAGATTTATTGAGCTACTTCTTTTTAGTTATAATCTGTGTTGTAAGCTACGCAGRAGTTTGCAGTCTGAGTTGATGCAATTACACACAACTCTGATGCCTAAACGTTACTAAGGTATGTTAAATCTGTTCATACTAGAAATGCCAAGTAAGTAAGAATCRGGGATAAAGCTGCCTGCTTCTGTTTAGCTAAGATTCTCAAGAAAACATCTGCTTTGGCTCCAAGCAATCACATGCAGATGATTGTGCCAGAATGGTATACGAAGAGTAATAGTCCTAAGGTATTTATGTAAGAAATAGATAAAAATGTGAAATGTATTTGTTTGATTTTATTTTTGTTAGGACTATTTAAATAAATTTTATGAAGTTGAGCCAGATCCAAATCAGCTTGGATGGAAAAGAAACGCTGAATCCACAGCAGACAAACTCCGGAAAATGCAAGATTTTTTTGGTTTGAAAGTGACTGGAAAACCAGACACTGAGACATTGGAAATGATGAAGAAACCCAGGTGTGGAGTTCCTGATGTGGGTCTCTATGGTGTTACTTTGCCAGGATGGAAAAAAAACAAGTTGACATACAGGTAGTATTTCCATAATTGCTTTTCTGGGTTTAAGTTGTGATTTTGTGGAGATATATATCTGTTGCATTTAAATAACTTTTATAGAAATAGCTTCCAGTTGGGATAACAAAAATGTTTTCCAATCCTTACTTTTAGTCATACATATTCCCTAGGGAAATTTCAGAGAGTCAGATTGAGCATTTTACCTTTAGGTGATATCAACTTTATTTTTTTTTCTCTCATGTATTACTACTGATGAATATTCTGTGGGCAAAATGGAAACATCAGTTGCACCTTTCATGAACCCCCTTATCCTCAAAATGTGTCAAGATTGGCAGCTTAGTAGTCACAAAAATCTGAGGAGAGGATTTACTTCATGCCCAAGAGAGTTGGCTAAGAGTCATTTAGAGAAAAATTGGTAATGTGACAGAGAGTATTATCATAAAAAATAATATATATTGGACAGTTAGTGCTCAAATGCACACAGGCCAAGGTGATTTGGGGGAACTATTGGAATGCAGCTTATATTTCTTCTTAAATATCTCAGTTCAGCATCTTAAAAATATGCATTTTTTTCATGTAAACACTAAGTATTTTTATTATTTACCCTTTATAACTGTAGAATTGTCAACTACACACCAGATATGAGAGAAGAGGATGTCGATAAAGCAATCCAGAAGGCATTTAAAGTATGGAGCACTGTCATCCCACTGATTTTCACTCGCATTCATGAGGGGATAGCAGATATAATGATTGCTTTTGGGACCAAAGGTAATGTATTGACTGAATAGTGACAGTAAGATTAAATATTTTCCAGTAATTATGACAAAAACTCAATGTTATTTCAACATTGTATTTAGCCCATGGACGTTGTCCTCGTTATTTCGATGGTCCCCTTGGTGTGCTTGCTCATGCCTTTCCACCTGGCAGTGGTTTTGGTGGCGATGTGCACTTTGATGAGGATGAAGACTGGACAACAGACTCAGCTGGTAGGTAGCAAACGGATTCTGAAGCATTTTTCAGATGCATACATTCCCTTCTGATTTTAGTTATATGAATGAAAACACAACATTACACAACATTAATGCTAAGAATAGTTTGAATATTTTATAGGATATCCTCAAACATGAATATTTACAGTGATGATAATATGAAAATTACATCCGAAATCACATCCGAAATCTGCAATCTTTGGTAAAATCTTTATGACTCTATTTTCCTCATTGGTAAGTGTGCATGGTGCAGGTGCTAGCACATTAGCACTTCGGCACTACCACACACAGCAAAGGATCCTCACCAGATGAAAAAAACATTAGAGCCACCAGCAAGGACAGAGTGACCTCACTCACAGTATCCAGATAGGTCCAACTTTAGGCTGCTAGAGCTTTACTCATGTTAGAATTGGTTTACATTTGAAAATGTTTTCAAAACTCCCTGGGAGCAGCTGGGAGCCTGAACACTCTGCTTGAACCAGCCGTGGGCTGAGGTGCAACCTGGAGAGCTGACTGCAAATGTATGCCCTTGGTCCAGGAGACAGGCAAGTGCCAAGTGCTCCACCATCTGGCTGGAACCTGTTCAGTCTCAGCCCCCCAGGCAGGCCATACAGCATAYATTTCCTCCAACAGATCTGTCAGTATGCAAGAAATCACCCTGTTGTACTTTAAACACTTCTTTTAAACACTTCTAAACCAACAGTGGGGAACTGCAGTAGGAGAGTCTTGGTTGCAGAGCAAGAGAGGCAGGGATTTAAAGTACAGGAAGGTATTTTAAGAGGACTGAGAACAACTGCTGTGGGTTTCATATGCCAGAAAAAAATAAGAGATTGGGATAAACTTATGATGACGATAAAATATAATATTTCTCCCATGGAAGAGGGGGTGGTGAATGGGTCCACTTCCAGGACTGAATGGGTCAAGTCTGGATCTTAGAGATGCTCTTCAGCAGTGTGACTCCATCAGCGAGGCATTGCAGGATTCTTTGGAGAGCTCAGAGGACTCGTGACGAGGAAGTAATRGAAATATATGTGGTAAACTTGATGCTTTGTTTTGCTTTTGAGAAATGGAGTTTTTGGCTTCAGTCACTCCTTCTTGGGAAATCAGTATTCAGCTCACTGCTGTGCAACAAATTTGTGATCTTGACAAAGTTGCTTGGTAGTGCTATACAGCAGATACCATATGTCACTGGAGATAAGCATGCACAGACATAATTTTTAAAAAGATACTTTATTTGACAAGGCTATAAAGAAACCTTAAGTTTAAAAGTCTTACTGACAAAAAAAAACATATTGCTGATATTAATTTTTTTTTGTTTATGTGTGTTCTCACCTCTCATTCTCAGGTGTGTAGGGAGGAGTGTGACACAGAGAATGACAGCTTGGTACGTCAAGCATCACAGAGTCTCTCCCCTCTTCCCCTGTTACTCCATTCTGACTCACTGCCAATCTGCTGCAGTTCAGCTGGGAAACACTGCCTCCCACGCTCACCCCTAGCCACACACATACTTTCAGTTGCTAATAGAGATAAGAGCAAGAAAGACAGCCAAGAGACGCTCCCTTCCTGTGGGTGTCCTATTTAAAAAAAAAAAGTATATATTTAATGAATTTCAGTATATTGTATAAAAAATACCACCAAGAAATGGCCCTGGCGTGTTCACAGTATACTAGCCATTTTCAGACCAAAATTATTCTGTTTTTTTTTTCCTCTATATACATATTTTTTTAAGGATTCAACTTGTTCCTTGTTGCTGCCCATGAGATTGGCCATGCTTTGGGCCTCTCCCATTCCAATGACCAGAGGGCGCTGATGTTCCCCAACTATGCCTATGTCAACCCCAGTGAATTCCCCCTCTCTCCAGATGACATAAGAGGCATCCAGTCCATTTATGGTGAGTAGAATCCATTGCTTAGAAAATTATAGAACAAGAAAGAAACGTCCGCYTTCACACAGTTAGACCACTAAAAAYATTATATTCATATAATATTATAAGTGAATATATGAATAACATAACAAGTTCATAAATTTGGTATATTCTTTTTAAAGGATCCTTAGGATCTCTACCAAATATCCCAGATAAGAGGCCAGACACCCCTTCATCACCTAAGACCTGTCGCTCCCAAATGTCTTTTGATGCTGTAACTACACTCCGAAGAGAAGTCATATTTTTGAAAGGCAGGTAAATATAATCCCTCTTGATATGACATTTATCTCTGGGAGGTTTATTTTTCATGGTTTCTACAAAAATTGAAATTTGTAGTGGTTGGCATGATCAATGGAATTTATAGTGAGATCAGCGAACAGATTTCAAAAACAGCGGTACATGGAAAAAAAACTGTTAGCAAACACGAATTTTATTAATGTTTTTACATTCAAAATAGGCTCCTTTTTTTTTCAAAAAAAAATCTCAGCCTCAACAAAGCTTTATTCCTGCGTGTATACATGGCCATATTGAGTAGAAAAATGAATAGACACTGCAACTGTCTCCTAAGAAATCATTATGCTCTTTAATACCCTTGAACCAATCTTTCTCCAGCCACCTATACACACCAGAAGTCAAATGAGTATATAATGAATAGCTTATAGTAATTTCACCCGAGACCCTATAATTCTTTCAGTCTCATAATACAGAACACAGAATCACAGAATGATTAAGGTTGGAAGGGACCTCTAGAGATCATCTAGTCCAACACCCCTGCTCCAGMATGGATACCTAAAGCATGGGACACAGGGTGGCATCCAGACGGGTTTTGAAGACCTCCAGAGAAGGAGACTCCACAACCTCCCTGGGCAGCCTCTTCCAGGGCTCTGCCACCCTAACAGGAAAGAAGTTTTTCTTCAAATTCAGGCAGAACTTCCTGTGTTTCAGTTTATGCCCATTGTCTCTTGTCTTGCTGCTGGCCACCACTGAAAATAGGCTGGCCCCATCTTCTTTACATTCTCCTCTCAGGTATTTATACATATTGATCAGATCCCCTCTCAATCTTCTCTTCTCTAGGCTAAACAGGCCTAGGTCTTTTAAGCCTCTTCTCATAGGAGAGATATTCTAGTTCCCATACCAAAACCTTTAAAGAAGAAATTCATTTATGTGTATACTGCTCTCATGAGATGATTTAGGTACCAGCCAGGAAGAAAGAATTTCTTCCTCATCTGGAGATGGAACTTCCTGTGTTTCAGCTTATACCCATTGCCCCTTGTCCTATCACTGGCCACCATTGAGAAGAGTTTGGTCCCTTCCTACCTACGTTCTCCCTTCAGATATTTATACTCTACAACATCCACCACTCTCCCCTCGTCCATCCACCCAGTCATCCTGTCATAGAAGGCTATCAGGTTCATCAAACATGACTTTCCCTTGGTGAATCCATGCTGACTACTCCTGATCACCTTCTTTTCCTTCACATGCCTAGAGATGCTCTCTAGGATGAGCTGCTCAAATGCATACAATATGACACACGTGGGACCTTTTTTTTCTGGTTTGTCTAGACAATATCATTAATCAGTCAATACCCAAGAAAAAGGGTATTTCCAGAAAAAAAAAAAAAAAAAAAAAAAACAAAAAAAAACAGGACAGCTCATTGAGCTCATTGTAAGCCAGAACAGGTTCAAGTGCTTAACTTTCTGACACATTGATCCAGATAGTTTCACTGACAGGAATGAACTTGTAAGTCATAATGACATTCACATACTGGTGCATATATAGAGATACCTGTGGTTTATTATTTACTAAWTATTTACTATTATTTACTAAAAAACTGTTTCATATTTCAATCAGACACTTATGGCGAGTGTATCCTGATAACTCAGAAGTTGAACTTGAATTAATTTCTGCCTTCTGGCCATCACTTCCATCTGGTATACATGCTGCATACGAGAATATTAAAGACCAAATCCTATTTTTCAAAGGTGATGTATGAGATTTCCTTTAAATTCTTATCATGAAATTGGAGGGGAAATGGGAGGGGAAAAGAATAGCTACATGTGAATAAAATTAACTTTTTAAATATATAAAAATAGGATATTTCACTTAATGTTTACAATCTATACTGAGAATTTGAATCATTCATTTAGTTTATCAGAGTCATTTATTGAGAAAATTCAAAAATTCTTTTTTTTTTTTTTTTTTTTTTGAACAGGCAATAATTACTGGGTTATCAGTGGACACCAGATATTGCCTGGTTATCCAAAGAATATCAACACATTGGGCTTCCCTAAAGGTGTTAAGAAAATTGATGCAGCTGTTTGTAATAGAAATACTGGGAAGACAGATTTTTTGTAGGTGACAAGTACTGGAGGTAAGAAAAAATAATGATCATTTCCTTATGCTTAACTCCAATATAACCAGTATGCAATTGAAATCATTCATGTCATAAAGGAAAAAGCAAGATCTTAGGTAATTATAGGTAACTAAACAAATACATTAATTCCACTTTTCAAAGAAAGTGTTTGTTTACCTGACTCCTGTACTGGGAGGTGAATACAGCTGTGACTTCTGAGAATTTAATGATGTGTTAAAACAGGCATTAAAAATACAGACTCATTTCAAGGCATTATACCTGGAAAATGAAAAAGTTTCAGTTTTTACACTTTTTATAAATAAAACAGACAAAAGTATCTGTAGAAAACAATGAACTGAGATTTAAACTGCTTAAACTGGCAGGAGGCTGGTTGGAATGGCTTATGTAGGTTTTCAGAAAAGTCCTATATTATTTAATTCCTCTCAGAAAGATACAAATGAGTTTATTTTCCTTTCTTATGCTGCTTAGTATTGTATTTGCAAAACACTTCTAAATCCTCTTCACCATTTGCTATGTTTGAATGTCAGTACCCAAATACCAAGCAAACAGAAAAAAAAATCAGCTTTGGCAAACTGATAAATTGCTCTCGTGTGCAAGGATGACTGCTGAAAAGACTTTCCATGGGCARCCAGGAGCACAGTGTGGGTTAAACATACTTTATGGTGATTAATTGTGGGGTTTCTTAGTGAGGCATACATTGTCAGCTGGATTTTAAGCTGTATGTGGTTTCCTGTCCTTTGTTTTTGATAGTTTTGGAAAGAATATTTACAATATCTCACCCTGCTATTTTACTGCCCTAGTCACAAGATAAAGGCATGCAAGGAAACCACAGTATGCATTTCTTTATGTAATAACAGTAATTTTCTCAGTCTCAGGTTCCTGTGAAAAGTACTTCTTGTATCCAAGAAATAAAACAAAGGTTTATTTCCTTTTTTTCTTTCTTTTGTGGGAGAGTTCCTCAAATATTCAATAATGAAGTGCCCTTTGCAGCCCACATATTCAGCCCTATCCTGTACCAAATTTTCCGACTCTGTCAGGAGGTACATGTGACTAGAAATAAGTCCGTTTCTTCCTTCGAATCCCACCAGCCAGGAGATGACAATGTGTAACRCTATATTGGAGTCTAAGAGGTGTTTAAGATTCACACATCAATTCATCTGCTCATTTTAGAGATTAGCTACCCAATCTGTTTCCATGGGCACCTTTACATTTATACTGCTGAAGTTACAGGAGGTAAATCTCAACCCTGCTACTAAAAATGTTCGTCTTACTTTAGCTGGCCTTACTTCAGACACTTCTTTGGAGCTGTGCCAGACCCTGTCAGCAAAGAAGCAACCTCCCTACAGCAATCACYGAGGCCAGAGTCCAGCAAACATTTGCGTGTGCAGTCAGTATTAGTCATTGCAGTCCCAGTGGAGTCAGTCAAACTACAGGCAGTGGATACAATTCAACATCTGGTTAATGTCTAATCTGTCAAATTAAATGTCTCATTTCATATCATTTAGGTATGATGAAAACAGTCAATCCATAGAGCAGGGTTATCCTAGACGGACAGTTGATGACTTTCCAGGAATTAACCAGAAGGTTGATGCTGTTTTCCAGCATAAAGGTAAATTAAATGAGCTTTTAGGTAAAATCAGTTTGTCTGTAAACAGCATATGTTTCGGAATTCTTATTAATGTAATTATTGCTGTATTCTGCAAAAAGAATGGAAGCAAATGTGTATGGAAGCTGATGTTCTGAATTTTGATTTTTAGAATTAAGCTGCTGGTTGTTTACACAAGATAAAATTTCTTTTCTTTTTTAATTTCYAGGTTTCTTCTACTTCTTCCATGGTTCAAAGCAGCAAGAGTTTGACCCTAATGCTAAAAAAGTTACCCGTGAGATAAAGAGTAATAGCTGGTTTAAATGTTAGTATCATTAAGCATTCTGCTAGTAAGAGTAAAAATCACACCAGATTTCTCAAAGGTTGTTCATACATTTGCTGCTATATGAAAAAGGCAACAGGACTAGTTTTCATGTATGTCTGTGATGTTAGTAAACTAGCATGTCATCTCTAGTTTACTTCCAAAGTCTGAGTCAAATCTGCAAAGTGATTAAGTGCAGAGTGTTCAATATAATTTATTGTTTTATACTCTGATTGAACTTCCAAATATTTTGGCAATAAACAGTTTTAAGTTTGGAGTTGCCTATTTTCTGCCTCCTCTATTGAAGACATTTTGTATTTCTTMTGAAGACCTGCAAAAGACTTCACATTAATACATTAAATATAGTTTTAAAATATGTTCCCAATGTGTGATATTCTCATATTCTACTTTTTTCTTCATAGCATCATCAAAGGTCAGGCTTTTCATTAATCRCTTTTCTCTGTCTTCTCTGCTGTCATCTTCTCCTGTTCATCTTTGACAGCTACAGCCATGCCCTGTTCACATTAAGCCAGTGTGTTGCCATCAGAGTCACCCTCCTGCCCTAGTGCTCCGAAAAGATTCTCTCATCTTTCCAGTAGAGAAATTATCACTCTTCTGAGAATGGACATTTTTAGCCCATTCACAAATTACTGTGAGTCTATGAGTGACATCCACTCACAAATCAGTCCCATCCTATTCAAATAACATATTCATTTGACAATGTTTTTGTCATCTTGTGGAGCACAACCTCTGCTCTTCTCCAAAAGCATGTGCCTCAAGTGCAAATATATTTGAGATTTATTGCATGCTACCATCACATACAGAACAAAATTATTTCTTCACAGAAACAAACAGAATCTATAAAATCCCAACCATATCTTGTTCAAATATGTCCTTATTCTGGAATAAGTCCCAGAACACACTGCAAAATGGATAATTATATTACGTGCACAGCTGGACATATGGGAGAACATACACCAAACACACCAAAACATACACCAAAAAGACAACAGGTGAATAAACGAGCCAGATATATGAGATTTAGAGAGTATGATCATAAATAACATAAGTAAGAGCATGTTTTTGCACAACGAGAGAGAGATATGCAGTGATCCGATCTGAACCTTACCCGTATTATTACATTATTGCTATCACAATGAGAAGCCTTTTGGCCTGTGTTCCATGACGCCAATCAAAACAGAGGCTCATGTATTTTATTTCCCTGGTCACAAAAGTAGTCATGGTGAAAAACTTCACACCTAGAAGAACCCTAACAAGATTTAAACTTAAATGGGGTGAAATGGTTGATATTTCAGTGAGCTTCACTTGATCTCACCTTAGCCATCTATCTTTACTAGTTACCTGTTAGTTTTTATGTCGTCCAGAATAGAGGGACATCCACTTTTTATTCTCTCTGATGTTCCCTCTCGGCAAGACACCAGCTCCTTTCTATGATCACAAATCAATGATAAAGCTGCTCACAGGCACCTGTAAGGATTGACACTGCAGAACGAATGCCCCAAGGGTGCCTTTCTCTCTGTGTATTTGCAGCCTGCTTAAACTCTTCTCCAGTGTAATTTATTCAATAGCCAAATGATGGTCCTGATGCTCCTGCGTCCTGACATCCTGAGCATCTAGAGCGATGCTTAGCAGATGGCTGCTGGCAAGCCATTTGCACACAAATGTTTACCCTCAGAGGCAAGATTATTCTTTCACACAGATGCTACTTGATGATTAATATAATAGTAATTGTAGCTACAAGAAAATTTGAATCATTGAACCCCAAGGGAAATTATTCAGTGTTTCATAGTATTTTGGCACGTTCCTCATCTTCCTCAAACAAAAAGGCTAACTAATTTCTACTCCCTTCTTTTCTCAGGTGAAACATAGTTTTGTGACCTGAGCAAATCTCTTGTCTCCAGAAAAGTTAGTCTTTAACAATAAAATGCTATTACTGCATTTTCCTACTGGCAGCTTTGATAGCCTATTATCAGGGTGCATGTTAAGAGGTCACTTGCAAAGATAAATAAATCTATGAGKACTATTCTTCTTTTATCTTCAAAGACGGCCTGCAAAATCACTTTCAATGCAAAACGGTTTAATCTTTACATATGTATATCAGCACAATCACTTTTTTTCCCTATTCAGCATTTCTTTAGTGAACTACCAACTGTAATAGGAGCACCCTAGCAGGAAAATAAGAAGTGATTAAGTTTGTTGATCGTTTCTCCAAACTCTTTGCCAAAAGTGTGTCTACTATGAGTTAGGTCTTACACCTTTCTGTACCTTGGTCCCTCCTATAGCCCTCTCACATCTTCACCACTCTCTTCACCATTTTTCCTTTGTTCCTTCAGATGAAGTACCTAACCTCTGACCTCTAGGGAAAAGGGCAGATATTCAGTCTTCCAAATATTGAGAAAACTTACACAGAATCTTTCTAAGGACGGGATGCCTTAAAGCCAGAGCAAAGACTTGCAACAGAGCCTACCTATGAAGAAAGAATTTGTTGCCCCTAGATGCATGTAACCAATCTTCACAGAATCACAGAATCACAGAATCACAGAATGGTTAAGGTGGGAAGGGACCTCTAGAGATCATCTAGTCCAACCCCCCTGCTCCAACAGGGACATCCAGAGCACGGGGCACAGGGTGGCAAACAGGCGGGTTTGGAAGATCTCCAGAGAAGGAGACTCCACAACCTCCCTGGGCAGCCTGTTCCAGGGCTTTGTCACCCTCACTATGAAACAGTTCTTCCTCATATGGAGACATAACTGCCTGTGTTTCAACTTACACCCATTTCCCCTTGTCCTGTCACTGGYCACCACCACCACTGATAGAACTAGAGGAAACATCCACACACTGAAGCATCAAATGTTCTACAGGAATTTAAAGAAAAATTTCTTGACAGTGAGGGTGAGAGACCCCTGGAACCGGTTGCCAAGAGAGGTTGTGGAGTCTCCTTCTTTGGAGATCTTCAAAACCTGCTTGGACGTAATAATCCTGTGCCACATGCTCTAGGTGACCCTGCATTTGCAGGAGGATTGGACTAGATGATCTCTAAAGGTCTCTTCCAGCCTTAGGCTTCTATGATTTATTTATTTATTTCCGAGAGTGACAAACTCTTTCCCCATTTCCTGGATCCCAGTGCAGTCTGTATGCATCACTAAAAGCAAGAGGATAGGTTTTAATTAGAAGATAAGGTCCTGATTTAGCAATTTGTTTTGCATACAAATTCAAACCTTTATTCTAGCAACATTGCTTTTGAAATTCTTTCCTCAGCCAGTCCTGTGGAATCCATCTGTGCTCGTTATAACCGCAGAATGTTCTGCCATAACAAAGCTTCCCCAACTATTTGGCTGAACAAATGTACACTCCCATCAATGCTCACAATCAGCTGTGTTCTTAATTATGCTCATGTCAACCAACAGTGAGAAGAATTTTGTCATTTTAATGACTTGATTTGAAGATATTTTGTCAATATAGGCAAATGTCAAAATACGTTTCAGAATATATTCAGAAAGAAGTTACTAAATTTGCATTCCTATCAGTATCTTTTGAATTCTCTATATTGAGAAAAGGAGATAAAAATAGTGCTAAATTTCTACCAAAAAAAAAAAAAATCCACAAGGACAGTGGTAGCTAGACAACTACCTACTGGCTTAYGAGGCTGAATTCAGCAGCACTTGGTAGATTAGCAGGTTGAGAAATGCCCCAACTCCATCTTCTCTGCATTTGACCCTCATTCCCACTGCATGATCCATCCTGCTAATCCCTCTGCCTCTGTTTCTGGTTCTGCAGATTATCATCAGCTACAGGTTATCTGACGTTATATTCTTGCAAACCTCTACTATTTAAAGTCAGAAGTCTAAATAAAATGCAGATCATACATAGTGCAATATAGAATTGTATTCTATATACACTTGTATTTCTTCAAGAATTTATTCAGATTGTGCAAGCTGAGTTTTGATTATTGAAATTCCACATACACCCTTGTGACTAGGTTTTCTGTTGACTGGATCTGCACCTTCACAGATGCCTTATCATTAGCAAAATATAAGCCTCAGCAGTTCAGGAGGATTTTGACCTTCACGAYCCCATCCTGACAAATTCAAAAAAAAAATGTGCTCCTGGAAAAAAGAGATSCTGATTATTGTCTGGAGATATAGTGACAATGGGAAAGAACAAATATTCTTATATCTTAGAGAGTTTGTTAATGGCAGGAGACAATGGAACTGTAAACTCTAACAAACTAAGACAGAATCACAGACAGCTGGATATGGAAGGGACCAAATCCCCTGCTCAACAAAAGCCACCTGGAACGTGTTGCACAGGACTGTATCAAGTTGGGTTTTGAATATCTCCAACCAAGGAAGGAGACTCCACAGTCCCCAGGCAACCCTTCCCAGGGTTTGAGGACCTGTATAATATTTTCCAAAGTTCTAATGGAGCTTCTGGTGCTTGAGTTTGTACTCATTGTCTCTTCTCTTGTCACTGGGCACAACCGATAAAAGTCTGGTCCCAGGAGCCTCCATTTGGATACTTATACACATTGCCTTTTCTCCAAGTTGAACAATCCCAGCTCTTTTAGCCTTTTTTTTATGGGAGAGATGATCCAGTCCCTTCATTGTCCTAGCCCTCTGCCTCACACATACTAACAGCTCCATGTCTCTCCTGTACTGGAGAGCCCAGGACTGGACTCCACACTCCAGGTGTGGCCTCACCAAGGCTGAGCAGAGTGAGATCACCTACCTCGACCTGCTGGCAACTGTTTGCCTAGCACTGCCCAGAACCCATTGGCCTCCTTTGCCACAAGGGTGCGYTGCTGGCTCGTGTAAAAGCATGAGCAAGCCTTGCAATGCAGCATTAAGTATCTTGATTCAGATCAAGACTGATCCTTTGGACACTTCAAACCACTGGTGTGATGAAGGCATTCAACTTAAGCTGCCAGACTAGGTATAGTTCAAGGTAACCCTCCCAGCTCCTGTTCAAAGGCAAAGATCACACCACC